AGGTGTGGGGGACTGTTCCCAACTCAGCTGCCACAGGTGGGAGTGAGAGGTATGAATTAAAAGCCCAGATCCGGAACTTCAGCCTCTGCAGCTTTCTTGGGGGTGTGGGTGTGGGTGTGTGTGAGAAAGAGAGGATGAAGGGGGGAGCTTCCTGAAACTGTTACCCACGATGCCTTGCGTTATTGTGTCTGTTCAGATCTTGGACTTATGTCTTGTATGACTTGCAATGTTATTCTGATGACTTGTCTCAATTATGCAGAAAGGTAAAGAGCGAGACTTCCCAGGACTCAGAGGTCTTTCTCCAGGATACTTGGTACGGGATCCCGGACTCCGCTTCCCTCTGCACGCAGCCCCATAGACTAGGGAGAGAAGGTGGAGAAAGGGAGATAATTCATGAACTACCATTCCCATAATGCCATGGGGTTGGCTGCGGGCATCTGCGCTAGAGAAAGTGGCCCCAGGGCCTTCTGGGTGTCGTAGTCCTACGGTTAGAAACAGCCCTTCCGTGGGTTGTATTTATTTATTTTTTGCTCGACACCTGATTTCTAAGGGCCGGAAGCATGTATCCGGAAGCGTGGGGCCTGCGACCCAGTAAGGGGAGAAGCCAGGTCTTGGGAAGCGGGAGTAAGCAGGGGGCTTCCCAGCGGTAGGTGACGGAAAAGTTCTAGTTTGGAAAGATGGTCGCTTCTGTGACGCCATGGCGCGATAGGTGGAGCCCATCTTTGTTGTGGTCCAATCAGATTCAGAGCTAGGCTTCTGGGCGGAGCCAAGAAAAGCCTTTAGGGATCACACGTGGGAAACAGCTGAAAGCTACGGGAACTTTTTGTAGTGATTCAGACCCCAGTTGTAAAGCTCCCGATATCATCTACCCAAACCCACCCTTGGCCCCAACATAGCCTTCGTTTTAGTCGTGGGAAAATCAGAGGTCGTGGCCCAGGATTCTTCTCTAAAAGTTCCCAGAACCAGGACTTGGCTCCACAGCGAACCCTAGTGTTGGCGGACGAAACAGAAATCCCAGGTCAGGCGCTTTCGAGAAGGATGGGCAAGGTCCCCTGGGTTTGGAGGACTGGAGTCTTGCTTAAGTTTGTAGGTTCCCCAGGTTTTGGGGACTCGAGGTGCATTTAATTAGAGGGAGTTTTAAATTGGATAATATCCTGGTTGGTTCTATTGAAAAAACAAAACAAAACTCACTACCATTGAGTGGATTCTGACTCATAGCGAGTCCCACCGGATTTCGGAGGCTGTAAATCTTTACAGAAGTACATCGCACCATCTTCCTTCTGTTGGAGAAGTGATGGGTTTGAACCGCTGACCTTCTGGTTAGCAGGCAAATACATACCTTATCCATTATGCCACCAGAGCTCCTTGGTTGGGTGTCTAGTGGATGGTTTATTTGATTGGGGCATTGAATTTTCAGCTAGAAGTGCAAGAGGCTTTAGGGAATTGGGGGGAGGGGCTCTCAGTGTTGATCCAAGGAGCCCTAGTGGCACAACTGTTAAGTGCTTGGCGGCTGACCAGAAAGTTGACAGTTTGAACCCCCTTAGTTGCTCCGCGGAAGTAAAACCTGGCAGTCCACGTCGGTAAAGATTGTAGCCAAGAAAACCTTATAGGGCAATTCTACTGTCACATGGGGTTGACGTGACCAAACAACCACCCCCACGACAGTGTCTATCAACTTAAGGTTGAGAGTTCAGTATAACATCAGGTTGGGGAGCTGGAGATCCCGTGGTGTGGGTGTTGGGGAAGTCTGCATGGTATGGAATTCAGGGTCTTCACTTTGAAGACTGATGAGGACCTCTTGTTTGAGAGGTTTCTCATGTGGGAGTCAATGAGCACCCTAAATTTGGGGGCCCGTGGATTGACCATTCGATCATGTTCCCCACTTTGGAGGTATCTGACGAGAGACCTAAGTGCTCTATATTTGCGAGCCCACTGAACATACTCTGTTCTGCAGTTTGGGGGGCTCAGGGGGGTTCCCTAAAACGGGTTAGGCTTCTTTACATTTAGCTTCCGCCTCTGCGTATCACGTGCCCTGGCCACAATGGGACCACCGCTTCCCCTCCTGGTGGTGGCGCTGGCCGGTTGCTTGCATCCGGTCCGGAGCTGTATCATCTGTGAGCCCTCGGTAGTGACAGAGCTGAAAAACTTGGAAACTGATTACCTGCCAGAACACCTGCCGCCCGAGGCTCAGAAGGACGTGATGAAAAGGGTGGAGGATGCCGTGCAAGATTTCAAGAAACTGCCGATTGACGATGAAACCTATATGGGGGCCGTTGGTGAGGGCGGGAAGAGCGCTGACTCCTGGGTCATGGGGACGGAGAAGGCTGGAGGCAGGACTGCTGGTTCAAGGGTGGAGGGGGCTGAGTGAACGGTCTCCTTGGGTTCCAGGAATAGCAAAGGCTGGGGTGTGGATTTTGAGGCCACCTGCCCCTTATCCTGGAATTTTATGTAATAAAACTACAACTCCCAGAAGGCATGGGGGGCGAATCCCTTCACCAGGCCTATCACTGCCCAGCGGCCCCATGGGTATTGTAGTTTCTAAAACTAGTCTGGCCAATAAAGTGGTGACGCTAGACTCTGGAATCCTATCTCCCAGCGCAAGGAGGCTTGGTGGCTAAGTGATTAGACACTCACCATCCGCTCCACGGCAGAAAGATGAGGTAGTCTGCCCCCATAAAAGGACAGCCTGGGAAACCCTGTGGGACAGCTCTGTGTCACATGGGTTCGCCGAGCAATGGAATGGATACAACGACGGCAATGGTTTTTTTCAACGGGTGTCCCTCCACAGATGAGCCCACGCTGCACAAGGCATCTTGGAGTTTTCTGACCGATCTGAAACGGATCATGGATACTGGGGTGAAAGGTAGAGGTGGGGGTGGGGTGAGGGAGGGTTGGATTCTGGAATCAGGGAAGTGGTCACTGGTGAGGATGCTTCATGGGGGGAGGGGCATTCAGCTCTTCGGTTCTGGAGCTAGACTGTCTTAAGTTCAAATCCCAGCTCTGCCACTTCCTAGCTGTGTGGCCCTTGCAAAAGGAACTTCGCAGCTTCCTCGTTTCTACAGTGGAGCCCCTGGTAACAATGCCTCATCCCTCAGTTGCTGTGAAGATGAAATGGATTAATACATGTGTATTGCTTGGCACAAAACCCACTTCCATTGAGTGGATTCTGGCTCACAGCGCCCCTAGAGGACAGAGTGGAACTGCACCACAGGGTCTCCAAGGTTGTCAGTCTTCGTGGAAGCAAAGCCCAAACCACACCCACTGCCCTGGAGTCCATTCCGACTCACAGCGCCCCTAGAGGACAGAGTGGAACTGCTCCACAGGGTCTCCAAGGCTGTCAATCTTTCCCGAAGCAGACTGCCTCATCTTTCTCCCATGGAGCAGATGGAGGGTTTGAACCACCAATCTCTTGGTTAGCAGCTGAATGCCTTAACCACCGCACCACCAGAGCTTGGCACAGTGGCTGGCATTATATTGTCATTAGGTGCGGTCCAGTCAGTTCTGACTCACGGTGACCCCCTGTGACAGTAAAACTGCCCCATAGGGTTTTCTAGGCCATAGTCTTTACAGAGGCAAGTTGCCAGGTCTTCCTCCCATGCAACCACTGGTGGGTTTGAACCACCAACCTTTTCAGCAGCTGAGCACTTAACTGCTGTGCCACCAGGGCTCCTGGGCATGGTAGTTCAGTTCCCTTCCCTATGAAGGCCAGAAAGTAGAACCTCACTTTCTGAAGACAGAGGCGAACTTCCCGCACGGGGCATAGCGGTGAGGCCGGTGGGGCGGAGGGTCGCTGCACCATCCTGCTTCTTGCTCCTCCCAGGGGAACTCCTGGTGAAGGAGCTGTTCTGGATGCTGCACCAGCAAAAGGAGAGCTTCGCCCGGTTGTCCGCTCAGTTCCTGAGAGAATGTGAGCAAAGACCGAGTCCCCCGTCCTCCTGCCTCGGACCCAGGAGTCCAGCCCCCTCCCCCTCCTCCCTCGGACCCAGGAGTCCACCCTCCTCCTGCCCCCTCGGACCCAGGAGTCCAGGCCCCTCCCCCTCCTCCCTCGGACCCAGGAGTCCAGGCCCCAACCCCTCTGTCCGTCTGAACAGTTCACACACCCACCTTCTTCCTCCACCTTTACTCCCATCCCCTTTAATTTAGAAATCCGATTTCCCCTTTCTTTCTCTTTCTTCCCATGGCAGTTTACTGTCCCAATAAATGCGGTGAGTTCGGATTACGGAAGGTACTCTCCACCCCTGTCCCTGCCCCGAGAATACTCAACCTCTCCCCTCTCGGTTTTGGGGTTCCCGTGGACTTTTCACTCTGTACCTCAGAGTTTCCCCGGTCTCTTAAGATCCTTAGTCCACCTTGGACTCCTTGAGGAGGGGTCTTATTCTCTCTCACTTTTTATTGACCCCGGTCCCATCTTTCTTCCCATCAGGCTGGGTCCTAGCCCTGCCCCTCGGCTGACCTCTCAGGGATTGGACACAGGGTCCCACCTCATCCCTAGGTTCCGCCCCATTCCCTTAGCCCCGCCCCCTAGGAGGCTAACACTAGCCTTGGCCTCGACCCGTTCAGGTTTGATGTTGCAGACTCTGATCTGGTGCAACGCCTGCGAGAAACAGGTCCATGCTTGCCGGAAGTCCAAGGATTGTGGGGGTGAGAGCTGGACCTAGAAGAAGGGAGACTGAAGCGAGAGGGGTGGAGCCAGTTAAGAGAGTGCCTAGGCTGGAACCAGCATGCCAGATAAGGAGGGGCCAAGGCCAAGTGTAAGGGGTGGGAGAAAGGAAAGAAACGCGAAGGGCAGCGTCCTACAATACGTTCCCATCCCCAGAGCGCCAAGTCGAGATCTACGAGATGGAAGACATGGTCCTGGACTGTGAACTCAACTGGCATCGCGCCTCTCAAGGCCTCACGGATTACAGTTTTTACAGGGTGGGGCCCCCTCAACTCTTGTAATCCTTGAGCTTCAAGTCCCTCATCCGCTGTGAGCCCATGACCCCTGTATCCACTGCCCCTGGACCCATGACCATCCATTGCCATGACCTACCAGGTTTGGTCTCCACTGACCCCCTTGTCCCTGACCAGTGACCTCTTGGCTCCCCTCTCCCCCACTGAGTCCCCGTGACCCCTGTACCCCCCCCCCCCACCTCCTGAACGGCCCAGGCCTCTGTGAACCCTTGAGCTTGGGTCTAGGTTTGGGAGAACAAGACCGAGTCCTTGGTGTCCAAGGGCAAAGAGCCCACCCTGGCCAAGCCCATGGTGGGTCCAGAGGATGAAGGCACCTACCGCTGCGAGCTGGGCACCGTGAAAAAAAGCCCAGCCACCATCATGCATTTTCATGTCAAAGGTCTGTGCTGTTGGGATGAGAACAGTGCTGTATTCCCGGCCCTGAGTTTCGTGGTCAACTTCCAGGGAGGCGGGGCCTCAGGCTGTGGGGCGGGACTTCCGGCAGGGGGCGTGGCGTCTGGCCACTTGGTCCTCGTTCCCCTCTGGGTGGTCGTGCGTTTGGAGGTGTGGTTATCTCCTGGAGGGCCTCGGCCTTGGGGAGCGAGGAAGGACTGGGGGTGTTGTCCTTGCTATTGTGGGGGCCTTCACGCCCTCCCTGGTCTGCTCTTCCCCTCTATCAGTTTTGCCTAAAAAGATCGAGGGGGAAACACAGCTAGCGAACACCACAGCTCCTGCTGACGGGGCCCCGGATGAGACAACCATAGTCTTGGAGCAGCCGAGCCCCGACAAGACACTGAAACGCCATCTCATCTGGCTTCTGATCTCTGGAGTTGCCTTGGTGACAGTCGGCATTGGGGCCGTGTGAGCCATCTGGGGAAGGAGGCGGAGCTTAGAATGAGGGGCGGGGCTTGTGGCACATCTAGGAGCCACGGGCGACTTAGAGCTAGACTTCAATTGGGGTGGGGCTTAGGTGAAGGGGTGGGGCTTAGGTAACGATGCAACTTGCTTAGAAGAGAAGGTACTTGGGAGGGACCGGCTTGGGTGATTGCTAGAATAAAGTCACATTGGGAGCCTAGGGCGTGCCCCTCACTCAGGACCTAACCTGGTCCCACTATTTGCATAATATTCCAGGATCTTTTTCCTTCGACCTCAGAAGGAGCCGAATCCCTAAAAGCTTTCCCCCAGCCCCATTCCTCTTGGGCAAGGGGGCGGAGTAGCACCCCCAGTTCCAAAGGAAAAGGCCACAGAAGGAAAGAAACAATAAAGATTTATTTAGTTGTCCAAGTAGCTGACTCACTCCTCCGGACTGCGCCTAACTTTTGGTCCCCAGCGTGAAGAGGTCTGAGCACGGTCTCCTGTCTGAGGGGGGAGAAGGGGCTTGGGGACCAGGAGGCCTGGATCCTGGAGGGGGGGGGCAACTGCCTGCCATGTCATTCCAGAATCCTTGATGGGCCAGGGCCAGCCTACCCAGGTCTCCTCCCCCAGGCCTGGTCCCCTCACAGGACGCCCCCTCCCCGCTCTTCCTGCCGGGTTTCCTCTCGCCTTTTCCTGTCCCCCACCCAGTGCTGGGAGCTGGGGCAGAGGCAAAGGGTGAACCAGAGCAGTGGGATCGGGAACCACTCAGGCCAACGGAGCTAGGGCTCCGGGGTGCTGCCAGGACCCGAAGCAGGGTAAGAGCCAGGCGTCCAGCCCCTCCTCCCTCCGAACCAGGACGGGCCCCCAGCCCCTTCCTCTTCCAGGACCCCGGAGTCCCGGCCCCCAGCCCCTCCTCCATCAGAACTCTGAGCCCCTAGTCTCCTCTTCCCTCTGACCCTAGAATCCAGACCCCTTTCTACCCCATCCCCACCACGCGGGGCCTCAGGAGCTGGGGTCTTGCCACCTCCCCCAGGGCCATGCTACCTGGCGAACGGAAGGAGGGCGGAAGCCCCCGCTTCGGGAAACTCCATCTCCCAGTAGGCTTGTGGATCAACTCCCCCAGGAAGCAGCTGGCCAAGCTGGGCCGGCGCTGGCCCAGCGCCGCCTCCGTCAAGTGAGTGCCCCTGCCTTGGGACGCCCTGCCTCCCTCGGTGGTGCCAAGGACCCCTGAAGCTCTGGCCCCTGTTCCTGTCCTTAAAGGGCAAGCGAACTGGTGGGTAGGGAGGAGACAAAGCTGGATAGAGGCACCGTCGGTGCGTGGGGTAGTCCTGGGCCTAGATATGGGGGTAGGCCCCAGGGGCTAAGGGTGGGGACAGGAGTGCAGGGGGTTGAGTGGCCTTCCTTCCTCCCCTCCCTGCTCACTTCTTGGAGTTTCCTTTTGTGGGGCTCGCCCTTATTTATTTTATTCTTCTTTCCCTCTTTGCTCACGGTTTCCACCGCCCCTTCCGTCCCCCCCATCTCTGCACCCTGTGGGTCTCTGTTGCCTTCTCTCTCTGGGTCTGTCTCCCTCCCTCTGGGTCTCTGTCCCCCTTCTCTGGGGTCTCTGTTTCTCCCCATCTGGTCTCTGTCCCCTCCCTCTGGGTCTCTGCCCCCCATTCCCTGGGTCTCTGGGTCTTTTCTCACCATCCCCCCCTCTGTGTGTCTTCCTGGGGGTCCCTCTCCCGTGTCTCTGTTCCCCGACGGGCTCCCAGGTCTTCGTCTTCAGACACGGGGAGCCGCAGCAGCGAACCCTTGCCCCCGCCCCCGCCGCACGTGGAGCTGCGGCGAGTGGGCGCGGTCAAGGCCGCCGGGGGCGCCTCCGGCAGCCGCGCCAAGCGCATCTCCCAGCTCTTCCGGGGCTCGGGGACCGGGACCAC